GGAAGGCAGGCAGGTGAGCGGTTGGGAGCCAGCAGTCCCAGATTATGAGAGGGATGTCTGACTGCCTATTTAGACCTGATCCCATAGACATTCCTCGAGGGGTCCCAGATTGGAAAGGGTGCAGGCTGGGCTGAGGGAAAACCCCACCCTGTGTACAAATTTCATGCACTGAGCCTCTAGTTTAATATAAATTAAAAACCAGTTAATTTAAGAAGTTTTACTATATACTACGTAAAATTCCATGTACAAATAGCAGGCTTTGGGAAATAGTGATCTGGTCTAATGCTTCATTTTACAGATTAAGAAATAGCTTCAGTGAGGTTTGGTTTGTCATAAGGTTAGTTAGATGACTTTTTGGGCTTAAAACCTGTCTCCTAGCTCTTGGACTAGTGCAGTTTTCACTATGCCTAGGGTTAATATAGGCTTCTGTGCACTAATATTGATATATTAAATAATTAAATCACAGTACATAACATGCATGATAATGCAGTATCAAGGATCCTGATTCAGGACCTTACCATAAAAGAGATTGTTTGACTGACAAATTGTATAAATGTTGGTTACCTCTAGTAATTGAGTAGAGCAACATTACTATCTGAGAGTCATGGAAGTAAACACAACAATTAATTATGGAACCACCCATAAGAAGTGACGTTACCAACTGATACAGAATTTGTAAGAGACTTATTTGCTTTATTGGGATGCCCACTTCTGGCATGACCAGATAACATTTCTGGCCTGTGTTCCTGATACAATCTTTTGTTTCTTCTAGGGATTTCAACAATTTAGAATTTTCTATAGCTTATTGTACACTACGAAATGTACACTTTGATATATGAAACCCTTTGTTGAAGCATTCATGCAGTGTCCAAGTTGTTCCACTTTAGGACTGCTACCAGGGAAGGTCCATGTAAAGGTACTTAGAAATCTTTGCCAAATCCATTGAGTTCATCAGCAAAGGGGACACTTGAGGTAATGCTGAAGGTGATTCCAGAAAGCTAAGGTAAACAGTGTGACTGTTTTTTACTTTGCATTTGTAGAAGAAGGCAGTAGTTCTGTACTGTTGTAACACAAAGACTCATATTACAATAGAATTCATTCCCTTCTGTATACGTCCTTAAGCTTTCATCCAGCTGGCTCATCTTGAAAGGCCAGATGGCTCTCTTGAAAGAAAACATCTTAGTTCCACTTACCCTTTTTTGACCATCTAAATGGCTTCTAAACAGTTTTGGTTTGCTGGGTGAGTATGTGTATATATGTCTATGGTGGAGAGATTTGGCATATTTTAATTTTATTAAAAAACCTGGAAACCATGATAGGGATAATCTGTCTCATCAGAGATTAGCAAAACATTCATATCCCTATTGTCTATATGCAATGTGAGAGTATAGAAGCTGTGGAAACACAAGGCTGTGTTCAAATGAACTGAAGTTCACTAGAGGAAGAGAAAAGGTGACAACTCAAAGCATGGTTTTACATGACACTATATATTATATTATTTCTCAAGAAACAGACTTTGCTTGTTGTAGTAGGCATCCTCCCAAGGTTTTGTAATTCTCAGTTCTGTGTTAGGCATTCAGATTACCATTCTTTCCCCCAATCTGTCCTAATGATTCTCTTTTGCCATTCTATCACTACACAGGCTTACATTTCTGTCATATCTGAGTCTCAAAGTTGAAATCAGAGCTCACCTGAAGGATTGTCAGTAGGATTAGGGAGGCCTAGTTAGAATTATAGAATGCGAAAAGTCTTTATGGATCACCTGGTCATATTAGGCCAACTGACTCAGCCATTGATGTGCCTGACTCAGATTGTCCTTTAAGACAGAACCTGCCTCAAGGACTTGAGTTAGAAGACAGACTCATGTACCTGCAGGCTCTGCCTCAGGTATCAAGTGGGAGGTGTGTGCTTCCTGGGCAGTTGCAAGCAAATGGCTGAGCAAAGTGGGGGGTTAAATGGTTTGCCATCTGGGATCAGCATGGGTTTCCTCTATGTACAGGAGCTACCGGTTGTGCTGGTCAATACTTTATCAGACCTTTACCACAGTCTGAGGCTCTTCTTATCAAAATTCCTTCCTTTCCCCCTCCTTTGTTGATATCAGACCTGTATTATGGTCTGAAGCTCTCCCTGCCTACTCGTGTCCCTATCCCTTTTTCCCCTCACAGGTATTACTCTCAATAAATGTTTTGCACTTATAATTATATCTTAGCATCTGTTTCCAAAGGACCCAACCAATATACCAATAACTCCCCAGTCCCATCTGAATTCTACAGTAAGGAATCTGAGGTCCACAGAGGTGAAGTGACTTACCCACCATAGCTAGCTATTAGCAAATCAGTATAATAACCCAAACTTTCTGACCCCTAATTCAATGCTTTCCCAAAGTTCAGTGGTTCAAGTACCACCACAATCATAATGAAACCCCCCACACAGATCTTGTTATGTTTATCCCCCATGTTATTATTTGTGTGACATATTATTTCACTTGTCATCAAATTTCTACTTTGGTCTTCTTTGAAGTAATAATAACCATAAAATTTGGATTTTTATGTGCTAGTTTTATATTTTTCTAATACATATTAAATAAATACAATACCACTATAATAAAAAAAAGTTTGTGTATATACTACCTAAAGTCATATTATTTACTCTTAGTGATAGGTGAACCCTAGAACTTAGAAGGCAGAGAAGAAAAAGGTAGAAAAAGGGAGGAAGGAAGATAGTAATAAAGAAAAGCGAAATACTTATTGGTGAGGAAGAAATGGTAAAAACCCATCAATAACAGCCTCAGGTGCCTTGCTGTGACCCCTGTGTTTCCTGCCAAACCCTGGTTTAATCTTCAATTAGTCAACAAACATCCTTTACTTATTGTTTGTCTAAAAAACAAATGGAATGTTTAATTTAACAGATGTAAATTAAAAATCAAGATTTGTTCTCCTAAAAGAGTCAATTCATTTATCCCCAAAATGGACTGACATGGTTCATTTTGAACAATTTATTGGAGAATATGTGTACTCCTTTTAAAACCAATAGTTCTAATCTTCCTATCTAATAAAAGAGTAATATGCAAATTAACCACCACACCGCTACACTCACCAGCCAATGTGTGTATGCAAATTAACCCCAATCAAGATGGCTGTGGCCATGAAGCGAGTGGGAGGGAGGTTTGGGTTTCCCTGGCTATGGAGGAAGCCAAGCTTTCCACACACCCTGGTGGGCACAGGCCTCTACTCCAGGCTACAAAGTTTCAATTATAGAAGATAAATAAACCCCAGATACCAGGGTCTCTGCTTGGGTTGCTGGAGGGCATGGCCAGCCTGAAAACCTCCACAGGCCCAGGCTGCCCCACACCCCAAGGGAACCCCCACCCTGATCTGGGACACCCTTCAGGGCAAACCAGCTGGCCCCTACCCATGCACTAGGCCTCTATCCTATCTAATAAAAGAGTAATATGCAAATTAACCATCACTCTAACACACAAGATGGCTGCCCCCATGTAGTCAAAGATCCTGCCCCCATATGGACACAGGATGGCCACCACAAATGGCCAGCAGGGGAGGGCAATTGGGAGGGACCAAGCCTGCAAGGGAGGGCAGTTAGGGGTGACCAGGCTAGCAGAGGAGGGAAGTTGGGGGTGACCTGGCCTGCAGGGAAAGGCAGTTGGGGGGGACCCAGGCCTGCAGGGGAGAGCAGTTTGGAGGGACATGGCCTGTAGGGGAGGGCAGTTAGGGGTGACCTAGCCTGCAGGGTAGGGCAGTTTGGGGCAAACAGGCTGGCAGGGGAGCAGTTAGGCATCAATCAGGCTGGCAGGGAAGTGGTTAGGGTGTGATCAGACTGGCAGGAAGAAGCAGGTAGGGGAAATCAGGATGGCAGGCAGGCGAGCAGTTGGGAGCCAGCAGTCCTGGATTGTGAGAGGGATTTCTGACTGTCTGGGACCCCCTAAACGGGCAGTCGAACATCCCCTGAGGGGTCCCAGATTGGAGAGGGTGCAGGCTGGGCTGAAGGACACCCCCCTCATGCACGAATTTATGAAGTGTATGAGAGCACACACCTAAGGAAAATATTTAAGTAGCATTTCCTTTCTCATTTAAAAATATTTATTATTAAAACAAAATAAGATTTTTTTCTCTGATCTAAGAATTCTAAGAATATCATTACAATAATATTTCACATTTCTTGTCAATCTTTTGGTTCAAGAGATCTATAATGATTATAATTTTATTGTGCCAATGAAACAAAATTTGGGTTATGTTGTAATTTAGTAGGTTCCTAGTAACATAGTGATACTTTAATGTTCCTCTTTTGTTCCATGGAAATAGTATTGTACAGAACCTCTATCAAACAGATATTACTGATTTATAAGCTATTTTGTTAATTCCTAAACCACTTGTCCTTTTAGAGAAAGAAAAACTAGAACCTAACCTTAATGAAATACTAGCTTCTATAATGCCACAAATTTTAAAGGCATGGGAAGTTTGAAGGTAAAGATTCAAGTTGTGTTTTATTATAAGTAGAAAGATGACTATACACTAATGTTCTATGTGTAAACCTATTTCTAGCATCTGGTTTAAAAATATTTGGTAGTGGTCTACTTCTGAAAAAACAAATTTATTACCGATGTGCATAGACACTTGGGTTAAATGTGGAAAAAATTTCCTGTGTTCTCCATCCCTTGTTTTACATTTCAAACCTGTGTAGAATGATTTACATTTCAAATCAATATTAAATCTAAGAATAATTAGTGAAGAATCAGATCAAATTATTATTTTGTAAATGAGGAAAGAATATAAACTTGAAGCTAAAACAAAGACAGCATAATTGAAAATAAGGCTATTATATTCAAGTTTTGGTATTTACTGACTTATTTCTCCAAATGTCTAGAGAATAAATTAGGTACTTCATGTATTTCTTTTTTTTTTTTTTTTTTGGTGACGATTATGGGTGATACAAACTAAAGATAATACATTGCCCTAGGAAACTTAAATTCTTCTTGTTCTTACCAGGTTAGCAAGCATGTAGTGATAACCTCTTGAATGTTTCCCCAGGATCACAACCTGCAGAAACAACAAAGAATATTGTTTATTCAGGAAAGACATTTTCAATTGCACAATCAATGTGATGGTTAGAACAAATTAGTTTTAAATGATCAGCAGAGTGTTAGGTTTTTATATGGTATAGTCACAGTTAATTGGATCAGATTTCACTTTCAGGCAAAGAATACAGGGAGAATTGTTAATATCAAAGTTAAAAATGTCAGCAACAAGGAAAAAAAGCTCTCTAAATTTCCAGGTCAGTAACATCATTGTCACTTAAAATAGATGACAAAAGCAATGAAGCTGATGATCCCCTCCCTACCAATGAACTGAATTTCTGTATTTAGCTGTTGAGATGGCAAATGGGCTGAACTTTGCATACAAATTAGAAAATAGAATGTACAGTACATTTTTTGGTTATCTGGAATACTTAGGGAATAGAATAGTCAAAGAATGGGGTTAATGGGATTTTCAGGTTAATCGAGGTCACTTTTGCTTATTGAAAACACTTTCTTTTCTCCTGTTTTAATACTAAAAGCTTGTGGCCATCTGTACATCTTTTGGTGCTGCATGCAATGCCTTAGGACAGTGGGGAAGGGAATTTTCCCCTAGGGGACATTTGGCAATGCCTGGAGACATTTTTAGTTGTCACATTTGGGAGAGTGACTAGCATCTAAGTAGAGACAAGGGATGTTTCTACAATGCACAGGACAGCCCTCCCCCCACCAAAAAAAAAAAAAAATTATCTACCAAAAAATGTCAGTAGGGTTGAGGTCGAGAAACCCTGCCTTAAGGTCATCATTGTTATCATAATTTTCATGAGTAACAATGTATTAATAATAGCCTTATAAATTTATCAAGTGCATTTTTATTTTCTCAAAATATGTAAGTGGATTGAATATTTTCAACCAAATGTACTGGTTGGCAGTTGAAAGTTTTGACTGAATACCTGACATTTTATTCAGTACTAACTATGTGCAAAATACTTTGCTGAGTGCAGGTAGTGGGAATGAGAAAAGGGGGTAACATTAAGGTTAAAGACACAACCAGAGGTGAAACCAGGTTTTATGCAGAACTGATGTTAATACCTTTTTAAGAAAAATAAGACAAAATTACAAATACAATATTATCAATAAGGCCTTAGAAGGAACCCATCCAAATAAACGGCCATTAAGCTTAAGCTTCATGACAAGTTCTATTGTGGACACAGCTGTCAAAGTGTTTAAAAACAACTTGTGAAGACAATTAATTACACACAGACCAAACCAGAACTATACATAAAGGCCATAACCTTTTCTTATATAACAAAAGCCTATTATGCAAATTGTCCCCTCGGGTGGTCGTTCAACTGGGAGTTCAACTTCTAGCTCTGATGTCTACTGACCACCAGAGGATGGCGTGGAACATGGGGGTATGTGTCATCGACCTACTGCAACCTCTTTTTGGCTACCTGGAGGTGGGAGTGTTGGGGATGGAGGTGCGGTGAGAATGCAGAGTGTCCACTGAGCTCGCTCTCAATCCCCCTGCTAACCTCCTCTGGGACATCAGGGCTCTTGTGCTGGGGAAGCCCCCATGCTCAGGTGCTGGCCTGTGAGGAGCCTGCCCCGCACCTGCATGGCCTCATTTGGTTGAGCCAGGTCTCAGCTGCAGGAGTGGTTGGTCTCCTTGTGAGGTTGCACAGGAGCCAGTCTGCAAGGCTGGCTAGGAGAGAGCACACTGCCTTCCCAGCTTCCAGAGGCCGTGCTCACTGCATCTCTGCATGGGGACTCGGGGCCGTGACTCAGGTGGAGGGGGATGAATGGAGGCCCAGGGGCCCAGATGCTACCCAGGACCCAGAGGGCAGCTGGGACCTACCCTTCCATCAAGACGCTCACACTTCGATCACCAGTCAGTCAGGCCTAGGGATTGCATCTGTGCACAAATTTCATGCACCGGGCCTCTAGTAATAATAATAAAAACCACCATCCTTAATTAAGTATCTAATATATGCCAGGCACTGTGCTAGGTGCTTTATGTGATTTTAATTCCTAGAACAATTTAAGAGATTAAGTATCATTAGTTTCATTTTACAGATGAGGAATCTCAACTAAAGAGAATTTATGTGATTTGCCTGAGGCCACAGAACTAGGAAGCAATAAATCTGGAATTGGAACCTGAGTCTGTCTGAATCTAGAACCCATATTTCTGGCAGTACATTACATGGTTTCTTTCTTTCCTTTTTTCTTCTTCATGGTTTCTTAATATGCTAAATTTCAAATACTAATAACTGCTCTAGGTTCTAAGTGAAGGGGTGTCTGAGACCTGCTGGGATGGATAGGGAAGGCTTTTCCTGGAGGAGAATAGGTTTAAACTGGCCCAGAAGTAGAATCGTATATTCAGATATCATGCTGGCATTAGATCTCAAGTGATTTCAAGGGGGGGGGGGAAGAGAGAGAGAGAGAGAGAGAGAGAGAGAGAGAGAGAGAGAGAGAGAGAGAGAGAGAGAGAGAGAGAGAGAGATATTATATGAGTAAAAGTGCTGTTTTTGATTAACTTAAAATATGAGCCACATTTCTGACTGAGTATTTATGGAGAAAATAAAAGGTTAATGAATGTCTTGAGGAGGTGACTTTTCATGCTACCATGAAACAAAATGAGCTCTTATGTATCTTCTGGGATGTATTCTTTAGTGTCCGCTTGTGAGAAACATTCTTACTGGTGACATTTGTTAACTTTTGATGGCAAGTTGGGACTATACATTTGTTGAATTTTTAACTCACTGACAACCATCAACATAATAAAATCAGAGAGTTTTGAGTTCTGCCAGAAAAATGAGCTGATTTGTAAAGACATATGGCAGAGCGTAGAAAAAAATGAAAAGCAAGGCCAAAGGAAACAGAGTAAGTCTTTCTCACCAGTGGGAGAGCTTAGTGGCTTTTTGAACATGGGAAAGGTGAAAGGAAGTCACGGAAAACCTTACTGTTCTGAGAAGAGCCCTGAATGAGCGCTGATAAACTGTATGACTGTGGGAATTCATTCACCTTTCTTCAACTTCCATTCCTTATCTGTAGTCTGGGACAATGAGCTTGGCCCTTCTTATCTCAGCAGTGTTGTCAACATTAAAGTGAATAACATTCAGAAAAGAATTTGGGATGTGAATTGTGTGAATTTTGTGATGTTAAATAACTATGGGAAGGAGTCATTCATGAAGATTTTTTTTTTTTTAGTTTCAGAAAAAGAAGCCATTGGAATATCTGCTTTAGTCCATGCCTAGATGGTCTGTTCAGAACAAAATCATGTATTTGAAGGTAGCTCTCTAACAACATCACCCCTTCAAAACTTAGTTTCAACTAAGAGATGGGAAAACTTATCTTAAGATAGAAACCTTTAGGTATCACAAAGCTGCTGCCTTGAAGACTATAATTATTTCCTATCTCATGCTTATTTTCAGTGCCTTCTTAACTCTTATTTAACATACCAATCCTGTCTTTTTCAGTTCACAGTAAGTGAAAAGCTGCAAATTAGAAGGGTTGTGCATGGACGGTGGGGGGATATTAGAAAGAGCTACATTAGCAGCAGAGGAAGTGACAGACTGACTTAAAGGAGAATTAAAAAAAAGCACACAATATTGTACTACTGTATAGTATAACAGGGATGTTTGCTGTGAATGCCTGAGCCTTCAGGGTATAGATTATTGTGTTCAGTAATTTCTGCTGGAAAAACCCAGGGATATGTATTATATGTTTTAGGGAAGTTTTCCATAAAAAAATGCTCAAAGTCTTAATACTTAAGAGATTATACTTCAATTATCATGGGGCAGCCATGATCCTACTGATATGAAGTAAGTGAGGCCTCACTGCAAAGAGTGTCCTGTTTTACTCTTGGTCTTGCCCTTTTTTGAATTTTTTTGGCATAGAGCATGTGGCAGTAAAGATGGGATAGATGGCTTGTGCATTATATGGTGCACAAAAAAAAGGTGTTTTTTTTTCACTTAGTGTTAAATTTTTATTTTTTCCATCTGTTACAGATGAACAAAGCATAAATTTACCTTCAGTTATTTAATGACTCGGGTAATCAAGAGAATGTTCAACTTTGCTTTTATAGTAATTATAATAGCTTTTTCTGAATTAGTTTCAGAACTCGAAGTATAAAAGCTCTTTAACAGTCTACTGTGAAATTTAAGAAGGAAATAAAATTCATTGTTTTAAATAAATTTATTTTTATCTTCACAAATAGGACTTGAAAGAAAAAAATGCCACAAAACGCATTCACTGAAACTTAAACAACAGTTTCTTTTGCAGAAGAAAAAAGCTCTTGCTACTAACACAGTGTTGTGCATATAGGAGAACATTAAACTATTTCATTTCCTCCCCCTGCTTTACAGCTTTAATGGGCTATAATTTACATAGCATAAAAAGTTTAGATGTACAATTCATGATTTTAGCAAATTTTTAGTTGTACATAAGTCACCACAATCCTGTTTTAGAACATTTTCATCACCCTCTGCCCCAAGCTTCCTTTAGTCCTGTTTTCTTAAGGTGAAAACTGAACTTATTGTTATGGAACTTTTACTTTTTTTTCTGGTAGGGGGTGTTTCAAACTGTACATTTCCCTATAAACACTTCTTTAACTGCATACCATAAATATTTATATGTTTTACTTTCATTTTCATTCCGTTCAAAATATTTAAAAATTTCCCTGCAACTTCTTTTTTGACTACAAATTATTTTTTAAAAAGTCTGCTGTTTCACCTGGTCAGTGTGGCTCATTGGCTGAGCATTGACTCACAAACCAAGAGGTCACTGGTTCAATTCCTGGTCAGGGAACATGCATTGATTGTGGGCTTGATCCCTAGTAGGAAGTGTTTCTATCTCTCTATCCTCACTTTTTCTCTCTCAAAAGATCAATAAAATTATGAAAGGAATTTTAGGGGTAAAAAAGGCAGGTTTAGGGAGTTTTAGAAATAAAGAGGGTCCATGAGGGAGAAAGGCTTGGAACCCTCATAGGTGAGGGCGTGGAGCTGCCAAAAGACATACTAGTAC